TGGGCATCGCCGTTTTGCTTTTTTATTGTTATTTATTGTGTGATTGGGAACCTGCCAACGAATGAAATGCTAGTCATCATTTTCGGACATATCAATTTGACTTTGCTATCTCTGATTGCATAGAATTACCAGCAATCAAAGGAAAAAATTAATGAGGCAGTGTCCCTTTTTTCGGTGACCTATCGCTTAAATACACCATCGTACTTTTGTACACTGTAAAAAATATCATGGTGTTTACAGGGTGATATATGTAAAAATTACAAATTTTACTCTGTTATCAACAATGACATAGAATATTATGTAAATTTTACAAGTTCGGCTATGTAAAAATACATGAATCTATGTAAAGTTGATAATACAGAGTATTTTTTGTAAAAAGGTCATCAAAACATAAAAATGTTTGTTAAAAAAACATATTTTATGTAAATGTAATAGAAGTTTACGGAAAATTGATTTACATAGTAGTAATTTTATACGTTTCCACGCAAAACATATTTTTCTGTAAAATCATCATATAAACATAAAATATATTTCATATGTTTCATAGATTCTAAGTAGAATATATTATCCGCTAGCAGTAGTGGGATCGTGGGAAAGTAATTCAACTTTAGGGGGTGTTATTTATATATAACTTGTCGTTCTCAGGTTTCTGCATTTGCGATGACCTTTTTTGAATAATAAAAAATTGGTTGTAAATTTTAGTAAATCACGTCGTTTACTGGCGTATAATCCAAGTTCTATATTAGCAAATGCAATCACACGTGATTCAGTATAAAAATGGAAATCACAATATAAACAGAGAGGGTGGTGTAAATTCAGGGGAGTGTAGGGAAATTACTGGTATTTTATATCTTTGTCTTCGATAGACATTTGTCATAAAATTTAGTTCAGAACACGTGACCATTTCGTCTACAGGTGTCTCACAATAAATTCTGTTACGTAAAGAATACAATCTTCAAAACAGCCGTTTTGCTAATATGAATAAGTGAGGCGTCGTGGGTCAGATTGATTTACTCCGCGGACCGTAGGTTGTCGACCCCTATTTTACCGTATGGATGTTTCCCCGACAATCGACTTTTTTGTTTATATCCGTAACAATGATCAATCAGTAAAATGTCAAAGTTGTCGGAACAATTAGAAATTTTGCAGCTTCTGGTACACATCGTTCGCTCAGACAGCTATTCAAGCATAGTTGTAAACATTGCCTCGGTTTTACGTGTTATTTAACGCTTTTTAATTGTCTTTTCATAACTTAGTTGTAAATGAAGTATTTTAATGGTCATTATGTATTCAGGTGAGTTGCAGTTTTGTCTCAATAATCAAAAATTAGTCCCGGGAAATCTGCGATAGACTATGCTAAAACGAGCTATAATTGCTGTTTGTGTAAGCGGCATGTGGTTGCATATATTAATAAAAATAAGGGTTTTGAGCATGTAAATCAGTTTATGTCAACTCTCTAAAACACTCTCAAAATAAGCATCCAAACTTTTGCGATAGTAAAGACAGTATAGAGGACTTGCACGGGTCACGTGACATTGTTTACTGGACGGCAATAAAACAAAAACGTCCATTTGGCTCCTGTCAGTTGCAAGTCGGATTATTCGTTTCCGTTTTGTTTGGCTGTTGAAAATGGTTATTTCGTATTGTTCCGCTGGCTGTACGTATAGTATACTAACGAAATGGATCTTCAGTTATATTCCAATGTTTTCAAAAGATCCGGAACGTCGCGCAATGTGGATATCATCTATTGGCAGGACTGCTTGGTGTCAAGTCCAGAAGCCATCTCACTTGTGCTTCACTGTTTGCGGACAGCACTTCGTTGATGGTGAGTCATAATGTGCCGTTATCAATTTTTTTAAATATTCATACGCTCCCTCATTTCAATGGAAAGCAGATGGCAAACTACTGTTATTGGTAGGCCGAGGCGTAGGCCTACTTGCAGACTTGACTCGTGTAAGGTTATTAATCAATAATTGCCATAAGGTATTGTTTCGCTAGTTAGCAGGTAATCTATTAGTAAGTGTGAAAAGTTGAATAGATAACTAAAGTTTGAATTCTCCATCTAAGAATACGCTCGCCACCGCATCTCTGATCCCCCTGGGAGTTTCACAGGTTCCAATCCCATGCTGGGATAGTTATGTGCGAGGGGATTGCAGCTCTCCTCCCATTGAGGGTGGTTCACACGACCGCTGGTCGATTACGACATCCCCCATCATCAAGTCCATGCTTCTAAAACAAATAACTGGCTAACTAATCCCGACATAGAATGGTAATCGTACGATGTTGCACCTTGCAATCTGTCCCCAACCACAGATAAATTCTATTCTAAAAACTACCCACATTGGTAGGCATAGTTGCATTTTAAATTGAAAGAAATCTTCATTAATGGTCACTTCTGATTGTTGTCTGATTGTTTTATTAGTTAGCAGGTAATTTATTACTGATCTGATACACAAACTTGGCACTGTCAAATGATGATTAGTGTTTAATTTATTTTCAGGAAAAAGGGAAGATAACCCTTTATCAGCTGCTTATATGTCCCATCGATATTTGAATTTTCGCCACTCCAGAGAAGAAGAGAATAGTTAGAAAAAGGGGGATTTTGAAGAAAGGCAAAAGGCAGGACCATTTCAACAAATTCTGTTAACTGCAATATTACTTTACAGTTGTTAGCATAAACATTTAATGTGTCTTTCAACTAGACCTACCACGCATTAAAAGAAGTCGCCTACACCCCTTTTCACTAGAACCATAATACTGTAAAATATTTGATAGAAATTACCCCCTATGCATCATATCTTCCATTTGAAAGGGCCGTGGAGGCAGATACATTTTTCACTCTAAATTATGGAATGTTACTTCCAGGTTATCTTATCCTTGCCTATAGATATCTTGAGGTCAGTGACTCCAACTGACCCATGCATGCCACACTGAAAATTCTCTTGTGTACCGATAAAATTAGACTGTTGGAGCCTTCAGACCTTGAAAACAGTCGAATCTGAGCACGATGGATTCACGTGAAACACGTAATATGCATTTATAGGCAAAAATATCCCATTCTGAGCAGCACCGATCCACAACCTCCTGCCTATGGAATCAACACGGCGGCGGTGGTGTGGCTCAACGGGCTAAGCGTTAGGAATACGCTCGCCACCGCACCTCTAATTACTCTGCGTGGGTTCGCAGGTTCGAATCCCATGCAGGGATGGTTATGTGCGAGAGGATTGCTGGACTCCTCGCCGTCGTTGGTCGGTTACGGCTTCCTCCACCACCAAGTCCATGCTTCCGAAAAAAAAAACAATACAGTAAAAGACTAATCCCATACCCGACTTGGAATGGTAACCGGACGAGAGGCCGTGGTTCGCCATATGGATAAGCCGTCTTATCGGCTTTCCTCTCCCCCGGGATAAATATGTAAATCCTATCCTAACACATTAGACAAATTGGTGTACTGTGCGCATTCACAAATCTTTGCGGATCAAGTGTGCCTTTTGACTAAAGAAAATTTAGCATTAAAATGGTCAATCTCAATATCAACCTAGTATCTGCAGATAAAACCAATTGTTTTTTAAAAATACATTTTTGATGTGCTTTATTTTTCAAATATAATTCATAATCACTGTAAAGTGTGTGATACATTTGGTACCATGAATACCATTTGCAAATTAGCTTGGGTTACACTCCTCTCCAATAAAAGTTTAGACTCTTAAGTCATATCTCATAATATTCTTTAAACAAAATGTTGCGGCTAGTCGGCTACCCATCAGAATTTTCTTTCAGATCACAAGGTCGCAATATTACGCCTCGCTAAGTTGCATTGGCAACTGTATCTGGTTGTAGTATCGGTGTCCAACTTTAGACTGAAACCTTCACTACCAAACTCACCGAAACAATTTTTTTTTCTTGATAGGGTCGTCTTGAAGTTGCTTTCGTTAGAGCACAATGGACACTTTATCTCCACCAATCCACAGTAATCACAAGTTACTTTGTCATTACGATAAGCATCAATAAATGGATACTGAGGATGTATTATCAAGTCACGCAAGCTGAGGTCTTGTGCCACTGTGGTCTTGTTGCAACGTATACTTTGCCATCCATCTATTCCACGGTCGCACGTCGCACCCATATCTGTAAGATAATGGATACAGATAGAGTTGACCAATGACAATAAAAAGACATTTTGGATCAGTTGTACAAGCACCATTAGGATAGGATTTATCTTGGGGGGGGGAGCCAATTATTTGTTTCCAGAAGCATGGACTTGAATGGTGGGGAATGGTCGTAACCGATCAGCGGTCATGTGAACCACCCTCGTTGGGAGTAGAGCTGCAATCCTCATGCACATAACTATCCCCGCATGGGATTGAAACCTGTGAAACTACCAGAGTGATCAGAGATGCGGTGGCGAGCGTATTCTTAGATGGCGAATTCAATTGAATTCTGGTTATTATTAATTCCTTACACAAGTCAAGTCTGCAACTGCAAGTAGGCCCACGCCCATGCCTACCAATAACAGTAGTTTGTAATCTGCTTTCCATTGAAATGAGGGAGCTTGTGAATATTTAAAGAAATTGATAACGGCACACTATCACCACATTATCACTCACCATCAACGAAGTGCTGTCCGCAAACAGTGAAACACAAGTGAGATAGCTTCTGGACTTGACACCAAGCAGTTCTGCCAATAGGCAATAGATGATATCCACATTGCGCGACGTTCCGGATCTTTTGAAATCAGTGGAATATAACTTAAGATCCATTTCGTTGTCTATATATTATACGTACAGCCAACGGAACAATACGGAATAACCATTTTCAACAGCCAAACAAAACGGAAACGTATAATCCGACTTGCAACTGACAGGAGCCAAATGGACGTTTTTGTTTTATTGCCGTCCAGTAACAAAGTCACGTGACCCGTGCAAGTCCTCTATACATAGGGAGAATTTGTCAGGGGTCAAGGGTCGAGGAAACGTCCATTGTTACGCCATAATCTCTACGCAGGTTTGCGCATGCGTACAAAATTTGAATTTCGCCGCCTTTTACTGCACTTGAGACTACGGAGTTTGCAACTTTGGGTTTCGGGCGATGTTAGCATTGATGACTAACTTACATATGTTAAGGTATCAATGATGTTAGTCAACTCACAGACAACAGTTATTAGAATGTTGTTAGAATTGTTTGCTGACTGGGCTTGGGAGGGATAAAAGTCGACAAATACTGGTACTGCAATACCGTGAGATGATGATCAAAGGATACTACAGTACGATACTAGGCCTATTACCTGTAAGTTCTTTAAAGTGACCTTACAGTTACAGCACCAATTAGTACCGGTAACGTAGACTACCGTGCGGTACCAATAACTTGCTTGAATTAGTGTGCTGTTTTTATTCTGAGTATGTAAAATCAGTCTTCTATTGATATGAACAAGTTAACTTTACAACTTTAATGTAGACTAAGTTAGGCCACGTCCTGACGTCCAGCACGTTGTTTGGTCAAATTATTAAACTGAATGAAAATTGTGTTTTCATAGTTGTCTTACGGTACCGGTAGTCTACTCTGCACATTTCTGTTAACGTTAATTTAAATTTTATGTTTTCAGATGAATCCCGCTTCCACATCAACAATTGAGATGCCCTTTTTTGTCCTGATGTTGGGCTTTTGGATACAGGCTTATTTTTGCTGCAGTTATAGGATAACGTTACACGTAAACTGCAAATGAGGGATGAACAGACCAGTGCCTCTGGAATACATTAACAGGTAACTTAAGGCTTTATCGGTAATAGAAACAATTTCCTTCGAGTTCGTGTGTGAGATTCAAACTATCAATTTAGTCTAGTCATGCAGGTGTCTGACAGGTCAGAAGTCAAGCAGTTGCATTTTTTGTTTAACTTACGTAATTATGGTTTTATGTGTCTTCGGGAGGATGGGGTTTGCAGGAAAGCGAATAAATTGACTGAACCACGACCACTCGCCCTTTCTTCAGACTATGTCTGTTTGTGTTCAGATGCATGGACTTAATGGTGGAAGAAGTCGTAACCAGCCAGCAATTACATGAACCATGATGGCGAGGAGTCCACCAATCAATGCCCTTGCACATAGTTACCCCACAGGCAGATGGAATCTACCCAAGGTAATCTGAGGTACAATGCATTTCTAATGCCAAGAAGCTCATATGCAATGCATGAAGTGGTAATGTAAAGTTGGTGGCTGTGTTTGAGTTAACTGTATTTAATTTTTCTCTCATAAGTGGGGATTTTAAAAATTGATTTTTTTACTTATTTTCCTAACCCATTTTATTGTATTTTAGATTATTTGCAGAATCTGGTGTACATCCCACAGAGAAATTAAAAGGACAAGATTACAACTTGGGTTTGGGGCATTCATAGCCAGATATTATCTTTCACAAATCAGTTAAATATGTTTGAACTCTTGTCCTACAGTTTATCCATAATCCAGATGCCTTGTAATTTGGGTTAGGCTCCATGTTACACATTACTTTTGGTCAATTTTTCACTTTATGAATACTGTTGGTGTTACTATGTGGTCCCTGTTTTTCATTGTAATATGCCTATCAAAATAATTTTTACAATTTACTTCAATTGGTTATTTTATTCTCTTATATTTGATTAGCAAATTTATGTCACAAGGAAGAATAATATTTATTAATGTTTATGTGAACTGAATCTGATTCTGAAATTATCTTGAAAATGTAGAAATCCAGCTCAAGCACCAATTTTTGCAATGAAACTATCTAAAAGTCTGTGTATGTAAAAAAAAATGCCTTGAAAAGTCAATATTGCTTTACAAATTAATACCCCTTCATGAAAAGTTTCAATATATTATTGTTTTATAAATTTGGGATGGTTACTCAATGGCCAGAAATATTTAAAAAACGGCCTTTTTTGAATATTTTCGCTTTGTATTTATTTGCATAATATGTTTGTTATATTATTAATCAAAATCCTATTTATTTTAAATGGAAACGTTTAGTTTTCAAAATACAGTCATTTCGAATATATGATATTTTGAACTAACTTCAGTGATTCTAAATTTTTCATATTCTTTGGTAACTAGTTTCGTTCAAGAAATTGAATTTTATTCTGACATGCTTATAATGAACTGAATTTTTTATATTAGTAAGAACTTGGTACCACCGTTTCTATGCCTTTGCCAGTGATTGAAGACTGTTTTGATTTGATTTTTTGGATGTTTTGGCTTTTAGTGAAGTTGAAGTGTTTTGGAAGTATTCAAATTTTTTTATGTTTCACATTAAGAATTTGGTAATTTTTATCCAAAGCGAATCGAAATTACAGTCTCATTACTGAATTTTGCCAATTACAATAACGCCCACGTTCTACACCTTCACTCCCAACAAGGGCTTTATACAAGCAGCCACCGATATGAAATATAAGACAAATTATTAGAACCCCAATTATTTTACTATGGCCAATCCACATTCACACTGCAAGTATGTAGATCAACCTAGAAACGCATATCCATTACAACAGCTTCGACTCACGAGATACATATTGCATTTATTATCGGAATAAATTTTTTGGTTGAATTCACAATAGTAGTGTTTTTCTTTTGTCATGTGTATGCTATGCAGGTTCAGGTAATGTAAAGGGTTAATGGGGCCGCAGGCTCTGTTTTTGAGAATAAAGTAGCTTATGTATTAGCAAGTTACAGGGCGTATGTATTTTCGCGAAATAGGCTTCTTGTATTTTGAAATAAGTAACACTATGTACTATGTGAAAACAGAGTGTATATTTTCCACTAGAACACAACGTTTGTTTTTACAAAATTAGGTGACTCTGTTATAGTGGCTATACAGATACTCTGTATGTGGTGCGAACATGGGCCATGGATACACTGCTGCCAAAGATTTAGCTTGAAATTTTTTTACAGTGTATGGTTTGAGTGAGTTTTGGTATTTCAGCACTTGATCCGACTTGACTTAAAAAAAACTTATTGAAAATTCCAGCTACAACCGAAAAAATTCAGACCGGCCGACAATTACGTTGAAGTGACGTAAAATAATGTACCAATTAGTTAATTTACAAAATTGCACTACATTAATAATCATGACAAATGTAATGCAGGAAACATATTTGCTTCAAAATTACACCCGGAGCATCAATTCCAGTAGGACAAAATATATACGACACCGTGATTTGTTCTGGGGCTCTTGGAGGAAGGATGTATTGTTGTAAGATTGTAAAATATATTTTATTTGACTGTAATATAAATATTCTACTTTAGTCGGTTATAATTGGATTATGATTTGAATGAATGCTATGCCGGCGACAACATCTTTTGGTAGATGAAAACACTTTGGATTTAACGTATTAAAAAAGTTTTCAGGTATTTGGTTTTGGAGTTTGGAGGAGTTTGGTTAAATCGCCAGTCACCTATTGTTACTGTTTCACTTTCTCTTTTTTCGATCACATGTCGTGAATCTCCTTGAAAAAAATAAGATGAGAAATAGTAGGTTTTTTTTCAATGAAAAATAGATTTTAGTGTCGTTTTAAATCTTCGAATGTTCAAAGGCAGCACGATCCGTATACAATACATATACTGTTCAACATTATTATTAGAACCAAAAAGGATTATTTACAATTGCGGTAGGCTAATATATATTACAAGTTTTTCTCCGGATTTGTACGTTAGCTTTCGGACAGAGTAATATACCTTTTTTTGTTTATGATATATTTTAGCGAATGATTCATTGCTTGAAACCTGGTGGAATTCTGGTGTTCAATACAAGAAAAACGGAGGCAAACAAAGTATTCGTGTTGAAACTTGACGCAATGATGAAAGAACTTGTAGATATCGGCCAATTGAGCAAGATTGAAGTGAAAGAAGTGTTGCAATTTCGAAGCAATTGCAATGAAACTGGCGACGCCATGATGGCATGGCTGTATATATACAAAAAGTTGTGAATTTTGGGTTTCCCTAATATAATTAAGAGAAAAACGTTAATAGGTATTTTTCCAAAGTAGCTTAAAGAAATAAAGAAAGAATTAATTAACAAAATGCAGTTTAATTCAGGTTCATTTTACTATGTAGCAGATTGGTGAGGAAAAGGTACATTAATACGACAAAATTATGTTGAATATAAAACGATGATTATTTGAAAATTAGTAGGTGATACGCGTACATGTTAAAATTTTATAGAACTGAGTAATATTGTTGGGGAGCGAGGATATGATAGGATATGCTTTTAAATTAGAATAAAAAATTTGAAATTTGTTCGAATACTGCCAAAATCGATTATCAAACTGAGCAAGAAAAAATCTCCGAATTTTGTTACCAAGTCTTGCTCTTAAATCTGTGCTTATTGGACACTAAATGGTCTTATGAATCGTTTTGTTTTTACTTATCGATTTTAATCGGTAAGTATGTTGATAGGTATTTGTCTGTCTGTCTGTTAGATGCACGCGATATCTCACGAAAGCGAGATTGAATCTGCTCCAGATTTTGCATGTGCATTCATCATATGTTGGACCAGAAGCCTATTGATTTTGAATGAATTATGTCGTATAATTAACGAGTTATTAATTAATTAGTGATAGGACACAAGGTGTCACTATGGATTAAGACCGCTGTTTTGAGGATCCCCTAAATTCCGATCGATAAGTCTTCGGTCTCTGACCGATATTCTCGTTGTGTTGTTAGAATTTGCTTCTTTTTGTTACCGTATGAAAAAATCTATTTTCCCATTAACTACTGGACCAATTTCTTTGAGATTTTCAGTGGTTTAAGGTCGTAATTCCAAAAGACTAAAAGGCTATTACTCTTATTTATTCCTAAATTTTCTATGAATCTTATTAGATCAGATATTTCATCCAAAATTCTGCTGTATTTTTCTCTGTTCAAGGAAACACGGTTTTTAATCTTCCAATCGTGACGGATGTCATGCTCTTTGATTTTGCAGAATCTTGCCACGCAAAAGGGGAAATTTTTCGATAGCGGTGATGCACTGTGGGTAGGTACGGTACAGTAACTTACTGTGAAAGGCAAAGCACTTTAAATTAATTGATACTATAGTTGTGGATCGAATCATTTAGCACGTTGGCACAAAATGCATGAATCATCATTATCATAGGACCTGGTAAAGCTGGGCAAGTCCGGGTACGGAACCGGTACTAATACGATACTATCTATATTCTATGGTCTACAAGTTTTGATACTGTAAGTGCCGAACATATCAAATATCTGGTAGTGAAGGAAAGTTTATTCCATTTACCAACATCATCAAATTGGAAAATTTCTTAAACTGGCTAATTGCTAACTTGCGGACTAATATTTTAAACTGGCTCATTCTGGCTAAAATATTGGTAATGTCACTAATAATAGCAAGCGCTGTCATGACAGTAACTGCAATTGAGGTGTTGAAGGTTGAATATAACCTGAATATCACGCATTGTAATCATCTTAAACTTTTGCAAACTCGAGCTAAGGATCCATGATGGAACATATAAAATAGTTCTTTTGCATAGTGAGGGGGAATAGAGAGTTCCGTAATAGGCGAAATGAGGAATTTAACCAAAAAATGTTGGCAACTGGTACATTAAACATTACTATGCAACAAAACAGTTGCGAATGCCGAACATTACTTGTCTGTCTGTCAACCTCATCTTGCACTGGTATATATATGGAATGCTAAAGTATAGGTAAATGGATGCTGATTTTAATAAACTATATACCTGTAACTTAACAAAAGGAACCGGCTTTAAGAGTGGTTTTTAACATTCTTGTGGGGCTGAATCCATGCTTTTTGCTCAAATTGACTGGTAGCTTACTTGGAGTATTGTACCAAACTTAGACATATATGGTATAGAAAAACAGGTACGGGATTTAGAAAATCGACATTTTAATAACATTCCTTTTTTGTTAACGTTGAAGTTAAGTTTCTTCTTTAAACTAATAGTCGAGTCCCCTTCCAGAGATAGTAGTTATTACTTATCGATCTCGATCGGTAAGTATGTTGATAGGTATTTGTCTGTTAGACACTTTCGTATGTTACGCGATATCTCACGAAAGCGAGGTTGAATCTGCTCCAAATTTTGCATGTGCATTAATCATATCTTGAACCAGAAGCCTATTGATTTTGGATGAATTATGTCGTATAATTAGAGTTATCAATCAATTAGTGATGGGACACGCGGTGTCGCTATTGAGTCAGAGCGAATGAATCGGAACCGCAGTTTCTGTTTTGGGGGATCTCCTAACTTTCGTCGCTGCGAACGATTGTGTGCGTAACAATGCCCTGTCTGCGATGTGGAGCGTTTACTTGCGAAGATCGATCTAGTTTAATCAGTGAACGTTAGAATTCTGTACCAATTAATGTGTTTATATTCTAGTTGGACTATTATTATGATAATTTGATAAAAAATGGATCGCACTGAGCAAGCGTGGGGCAGAGTCAACTATGTTATTTACGCCGATTCACCAGAAGAAATAAATAAGGTAATTATTTTCAGTATCTAATGTACTTACCCATTCAAGCGACAAAGTACTATAATACCAATATTCATGTAATCGAAGTGTTTCAATATTTATGTCGTATATAGATTCAAAATTTCATGGTTTATTCATAGTAAACAACCAAAAAGAAAGAAATGAATTACAATAACGTCAACATAGATTTTAATGTCCTATTGACCTATTCAATGTTCGTGTATATATTTTGCAATTTGCATTTATCTGATCAACATTTATTTTTTACTGTCTAAACCTGTTACTCACTTAAGAGATACTCAAAATGGGCGGATACATATGACGTGGATAAGATTGTACTCTGTTCTGTGGCTAATGGTGAACTTGCAAAGAATTCGTTGAAGCATATAAAAAACGACGAATCTGCCCTATTGTTGGATTTAGCTGCAGGTCGGTCAGTCGTTTGCCATTTCCCCATAGTGCGCAAATATATGCTTAAACACGCGTGACCAAATATGGCTACTTTTTTTGGGCAAATTTTGTCGGTGTGCAGCATTGCTGCTTTGCTTTAACGTTATTCTCTGCATTTTTTAATACTTATGTTGAATCGTTTTATCTCGTGATTTGATACTTTGCTTCTATTTGGGTATATACATTCATTCCGAAACTCAAGCTAACCTTCACATGCTTTTGAATGTTGACTTGAAGCAATAGTACAGTAGATAGCACGTTCCTCTACCTGAGTTTGTATAAAAACTTGGATATTTCAAATTGAAGCCTTGACTTATCATTTCAAAACACACCCTCCCGCTCCGACCTAATTGGGAAGGAGGAATTCGATACCATTTGCCCGTTATTTTCTAACTCAGCAGGGTGATTGCTTAACCTAGCTCTGAATCAACTTGTTCAGGTACTGGTTTGGTAGCCAAAGCATTTCTGTCGCAAGGGTACAAGGGTATCATGGATGCAATGGACTGGAATGAGGAAATGTTGGAAAAGGCCAAGCAAAAAGGTTTATACAGGTACCATTGTAATATCTTGTCACTGTTTCTTCGTCACGTGAATTTCTATCGTGCTTCCCCGAAAAAAGACCTAGCCTGAAAATGAGATCTAGCTTGGATTTTAAAAATGATTTTAATATAAGGACAAGGTAGACCTAGTCGATAGCGCGAAAAAATTCATATTTCATATTCATTTCATTTCAAATTCATTTTCATATTTTGTTTATTTGAAAATCTCGTAATTCCCTACTTTGTAATTTTGTTTTTATTAAATGAAAATAAAAGACATCCCTCCAAAATAAGCTCTATTGGTATTTTTTCGAAAGAGAATTGAAGTAAAATCCTGTCCTATTTCCGAGGAAACACAGTATGACAGCTGAAATATGGACTAGTTTTATGTCAATATAACCGCAGTGGAATAGAATACCGCAGAAAAAACAGTTTTCAAGTAAAATTTTTTGACATAAAGACTGATTTGAATACAATTACCACTGACAGTAAGCAGCGTACATGTACCGTGTTTCCCCGAAAATAAGACAGAGTCTTTTTTCAATTTAAAAAAAAAAACAGAGCTTACTTTGGGTGGGTGTTTCATTTCTATTTATCAAAAACAAAATCACAAAGTAGAGAATTACGAGATGATCCCATCATCATCCTCCTGAATGTATTGTAAATCACTTATTTTCAAGTCACATTAATCATTTAAAACGTGTAGGAGAGATTTCTTGCTATCGACTTGAACCAGTTCAAAAAAAAAATCGCGCTATCGACTAAGTCTTATTTTAAGGCTAGGTTTTGTTTTAGGGGGTAAACTATAGTAGCCCAGTGCTAAGCATTGTTTCATCTTTTCAGCACCTTTTCCAAGTTTTTCTAAATTTGTAACAACTTTGATACAGGAATCATATTTGCTGGCAAATTACATCAGAAGTACAGCTTCCAGTTGGTGTAGGATCATACGACACTGTTACCTGTGGCGGAGCGCTGGCATCAAAACAATTGGAAGCAAGATGTATTCCTGTAAAGTTCCTAATAAGTATTTATAAAATATCTATTCTGAATAAATACAAAAGAAAAATGCTCGAATATATGGGCTTGAAAGCCAAAACAATGGATCGCATTTCTCATCAACTGCTGGACCAATTGCTTTTAAATTTTCAGTGGTTAGAGCTTGTATTTTTCGCTTGGAGGCTTTCTGTGGTCTCTCCGTTTTTCGTGTGCGATGACGTCATAAAAATTGCGCCGTACGCCCTCACCTAGGTTGAAATCTGGTGCTCAGCTGCGTTACCGGTACTTTACTGTAACAGATTGCATACCTGTACGCCTTCGCCTTCAAGGACATATATTTGAGCATCACTGTCTTGTTAAAATATTTTCCGGTTTCTGATGAGTTATTCTAATTTTCCAGGTTGACAAAACAAAATATAACTTGTGATGTCGGTCTATTCATATGGTTAGGTATCCTGAGTAAGCAGAGTTATATATTGGGCATCTTCCTGTTATAAAGTCAAATTGACTTGAAACTTCAAATTCTGATCGAGTCCAATTCTGAAAGCAATAAAGAAAGTACAAAAGCTGTCTTATTTTTCAGAATATGGCCCGTTGCCTAAAACCCGGTGGAATAATTGTATTTAACACCAGAAAAACAGAAGCAAACAAAGAATTCGTTCTAAAACTGAATAGCGTGATGGATGAACTGGTACAATCCGGGCAGTTGATCAAGATAGAAGTTAAGGAAATTCCTTATTGTCAATCTGAGAGCAAAAGTACTGGTGATGTCATGAAAGCATTGCTGTACATATACAAAAAAATATAACTTCTAATTGCTGATTATTTAATAGAAATATCATATTTTTTTCGGTAGTAGTTGGGAATATAATATATATATAGGATTATAACATACCTGATGAAATTGTTATGAAGATACATATACAGAAAATTATACTAGCTAATTACTCATTATTGAATAGAAACCTAATTTGTTTTTATATTACTTAAGAATATAACTTCTCTGGATGAATGCAATTATCGTGTTTACATTAATATGCCATATTTATTCAAGCTCTTCGTTGAATGTAATAAAAAAATACATGATCATTTCTGGTGAAGTAACGGTGCTACATCGAATCGTGCGGAATACAAGACAGTAATACTCAAATATGTGGACACCAAACGTCTAATGACTAACGCAATGGTAGCAAAATTCTATTCAATTTTTAAGAAAATTATACCATACGTCATCATATGAGGATGTGTACATGATATATAAAAGTGTTTCCATGAATTAAAATGAAAGCGCTTTTATACGACTAGAAATTGATACATTTAAAAGCGAACTGGCATACTCTGGAAGGGTTCGTGGCTATATTGAACGGGTGTCACTCGCTAAGATCAATAAGGTTTACACTCTATTAATACCAGCCTTTGCCCACGTATAGGCTACGCCTTTGCTGAAATTGTATTGAAGGGAGTGGGAATCGGGAGCCAATTCTGGCATTTGATTCTTTTGGGTGCTAATCTTACTTGAAGTGTTGTTTTCAGCTTCTGGAATGTCAGAGCTCGGAATTATAAAAGCAATAAATTTCGTGATATATAGTGATCGCAATGTTACGATAGGGTTGGTACCGTGCCATACATATACTGCCAAGAATATGCATATAGCGCCAACTAAATATCCATATAGCTACAACTAAATATTCATATACAGCCAATGTCATATACATATACAGCCAATTAATATCCAAATACAGCCATACATATTCATACCGTTAGAAAGGAAAGCTGATAAGACGACTCAACCATATGGCGAACCACGGCCGCTCGTCCGGTTACCATTCCATGTCGGGTATCTGCTAGGTATTTGTTTTCGGAAGCATGGACTTGACGGTGGTGGAAGCCGTAACCGACAACCGGTTACTTGAACCACCTTACAGCAGCAAGGAGTCAAGCAATCCTTTCGCCCATAACCATCCCCGCATGGGGTTGATAATACAAGAAATGTGATGGCTGAAAATCTTATTTGAAAGAACTATTCTTTGGCTATTGGCAATAATCGGTCCACAAAATAATCAAATGAACGTTTGGTGGAATATATGAAACATAAAACTTCCTGTGCGCGTAGTTCTTAATAAATATCCAATAGGTGCCAATCCATGATGAACAAACACCTCATAAAGGCAAGGTATCCACGTTTCATCATAGTTTTTTCATGCATTTTCTGTTAAAAATTTGTCTATTAGATTACAATATCGTCACGCTAATAACCGAATTGCGTAAGTCATTTTTAGCAGTTTTGAGAAAAACGTAAAAAACTTCCTAATGATATTGCTATGCCATTGAGAGTCAATAATTTGCCATAGTTCAATTTTTCGATCGTAGCCGGATTCAAGTTAATTTGTATGACGCATTCATGTGACGACATAATGGCGCACTGTGACTTAGGCAGAAATGTGTCTATGACTAGGGGACATACGCAATTTTGCAACTTGACTATATGTACCAGTCCTGAAAACAAAACAATCCAAAAACGAATGTAATTCTTAGTATATACGATGTCTAATCCCCAAAATAGCTAATCTGTTTCAATTACATTATTTTTTATGTTTAAAAATATATATTTCATCAAAATAACACGCTCTGCACATCCACCGAAATAAGACTAAAGTTAAATATAAAGAATAAAACAGCAATGTACCCTTATATAAAAGCCAACCAAGGTGAATTGGATTCAGACAGTGAATATCACAAGTGCACGCCTTCCTATACTGTAGTTTAAATTGAAATTTATAAGCGCTAAGCTAGAATCTGAGATGCAAAAACTCGAAAATCCTTCGCCGAGGTCATTTTGCCTTTGTGACGTCACAATAGTCCTGCGTTAACAATGATAATTCATTATGACGAAACAATTGAACAAATTTGCATATCATACAAAATCTCTATTTTTATGGGTTTCGGAATTCTTAAAATAAAATCTGAGTTAACAGACAGGTGCGCAGCATTACATAAATACCTATTTTATGAAAAACTCAAAACCGCCAAAAATGACTTACGCAATTCGGTTATTAGCGTGACGATATATATTTGCTATGGAAAATCCTCTGAAGTCCGAAACAATGGTATAACAACGAATGTTGTCGGTCTATTATGAAAAATATAATACGAATCCAATCCAGTCATATTTTACTGGCAAATACACATCACAATATTAAGAGTTAATGTAATAGATAGAGTATGGCGAAATCCTTTTTAAAAATTTTAAATTTTAAAACAGCGTAAAAATAAGAATGACATTCAGAAGCCTCGCAAATTGTAACAGCTATCAGGGCATGACTTGTTTTTTAGCAGCAGAAGAAGCATAAGTAAATTGTCTTGCAGAATATATTCTGAAGTTAGGCGGATCTCTGCGTGAAATAATAAGAATTCCAATTTTACTTTGTTTTCTTGTAGTTTTTGAGTTCGTTTTGGTTCCGAATTTTCACGATTTTCATTTTTTTTACGTCAAGGTACGCTTTAACGCTTCCTAACCAGGTTTGAAATCATCTAATCTGCTCGCATTCGAGAGCGCTTTTCAAGTTGTATCCATACTGGCAAAGCTATTACAGTTACACCATCTGTAACATCAAAGTCGCAAAATTTTTCTGACATCGAGGAGAGAAATCGAATACAAGTGAAAAAGTTAGTGGCGCATTATCAGTTCACACAATGATAGTTTTGAGAATGCCGAAATGTCTAACTTTGGACGAAATTTACCATGGAATATCGGGCCTCATAGGATTAGTAGTAAATCAATCTCTAAATGCCGCGCATAACCAAATAAATGCTCGTACTAATTATCCACTTCAATAACGATAACAGCAATAAGTTAGCGAACAAGTGGAGTATCAGATATAGCGGGTAGCTGCTTAGTAAGGAGAAAGAAAGCGAAACCTTCTCGCAAACCGCAAATTATGTTCCCGATGGCGATGAATAAGTTTGACACATTGGGTAACATCGCCCAGCAGTTGAACGGTTAATTAGAAGGTTTTCGGGGGCGTGGCGCATCGTGCTAAGCGTTATGATATGCTCGCCACCGCATCTCTGATTACCCTGCGTGGGTTCGAATCCCATGCAGGGATGATCATGGGTGAGAGGATTGCTGGAATCCTCGCCTACGGCTTCCTTCATTATCAAGCCTAGCTAGCTAATCCCATACCGGTACCCGACCTGAACACCGGGCGAGATTCGCCTAATGATTAAGCCGTCATATCGGCTTTCCTACCCCCCGGGATAAATATCCTTGCACATTCATTTTTCACAGTTAAAGCTCACAGTTATTTACACAGTTTTCACAGTTATTTACATGATATTGTTGATCAATTAAATGGTTCTTTTCTCATATCTTTGTTTTTTGATAAGTATCATTTCTATTTTTGGTCAATTAAATTATTTCCAAATTGCTTTGAATTATCAGTTTGTTTGCAATGATTTTATCAATCATACTGTAACACCAAAGATTTAAATAAAAATGTTCACTATTCCTATGATGATCATTGCTTGCTTCTTTTTGTAAACACGATTCCCAAGATGTGAATTGTTGAAATTTTCCTATAGATTTGACCCTCTTGTGTGGGTCAGAAACGTTTTCGAAACTGTTATGCTAAAACTTCTTGATAAGTATACTTGTAAGTATTAAGATTTTTAGAGTGCAAGTTTGTAAAAATCCCCAAATATATATAAAGTTCATGCAGTTTTGAAATATTTTCAGATTATGACAAACTTATGAATCAAAATCATCTTTTCCTATCCAGTGTGTTACTTTCATTCAATACTGTGTATGTATCACTGAGTTGAATTTAGTTTTCAGTTAAATATAAATTTCCATCACATTATTCTGGCCGCTTTAGATTGTTTTATTTAACGAATGCAACCCCGGACACCCCCCGCCCTCCCCTTTTTTTTTCAAAACACACACATGCTTAACATTGCTTTTATCTAAGAATCCCCCCCATTTTGTTCAGAAATTTATTGTCAAAGTATTATCGTAATTGTTTTTGCCACTGGTCATCTCTCAGTGATAATCTTAATCACATCAGCGTATATGGTGAGGGCTGACTTCAATGGTCGTATCGCTCCCTCCTGTTCATACCAAAACAATTTTATTTTCTGTAGCTATTTTATTGAGGACTGTATTTTTTGGTTGACAAAGTAATAAAAAATCTCTCTTTCGTTGTACTACCATTGGTAAGGACGTTTACAATTCAATTATGCAACGATAGCGTCTGAAAAGGGCAAATTTCCAATGTAACATTGCCAACAACATTTAGCTATAGGACAGTTGTAATATCTCATTTAACGTCGTCTTTACTGTCGAAAATTCAGTTCGTTTTAGTCATTTAGGTCTGTTGTGGTGTGAAACACCCAGAACATGGGACCCCAAATGGCGAAATAGGGTATTTCGAATGTAACAGAAGCCAAAAAATAGCCCAAGCTATGTTAGAACGCCCTAGTTGTCAGTAAATTCCGGGGTAACCGTGGCCCGGGGCGCCAGACGTCAATTCCGGGACTGTCCCGGCCATTCCGGGGACGGTCGATAGCCCTAGATAGGATAGGATAGGATTTACATATTTATCCCGGGGGAGAGGAAAGCCGATAAGACGGCTTATCCATATGGCGAACCACGGCCTCTCGTCCGGTTACCATTCCAAGTCGGGTATGGGATTAGTTTTACTGTATTGTTTGTTTTCGGAAGCATGGACTTGGTGGTGGAGGAAGCCGTAACCGACCAGCGGTTACGTGAACCACCCAACGACGGCGAGGAGTCCAGCAATCCTCTCGCACATAACCACCATGGGATTCGAACCTGCGAACCCACGCAGAGTAATTAGAGGTGCGGTGGCGAGCGTATTCCTAACGCTTAACCCGTTGAGCCACACCGCCGCGCCGCTAGAATCAGCAGGCCTTGAATAGTTTTAGATTTTGCCTACTTTCCCGATTTTTCGTAGGCTATATGTGTGTGTGTGTGTTGCCTTGCATTTTAGTGTTACGGAAAAATCGCAATAAACTTTACTTTACTAACCGTGTGTTGCGTCTATATTTGGTTTGTTACCGAGCGGCGTGGGTTGTTAATGTGAGTGCCTCGTATTGGGTTCGATACTGACTGGGACGCCTAATCGGATTTCTGCCCTTTCGGAATATAACTACTCATTTAAATCTTCCCCAAAAACCTTTTAAAACTACTAAAATTAGACTTGTTTGCGTTACACTACTTGACCCGAATGATCGAAAATGGCGTCCATATGACGCCATAATGTGACAAGTTAGTTGCCCGGGGTTGGGCGTAACCATATGGCGAACCACGTCCTCTCGTCCGGTTACCAATCCATGCCGGTCATGGGATTAGTTAGTTATTTGTTTCCGGAAGCATGAACTTGGAAATAGGCTGATACACACAGCGTGGGTTGTGAAATTTATTCTCAATAAAACAGTTCACACATAATTGTTCACTATTGTGACCATTGCTCTCGGTTTACTTGAATGAAAATCATGTTGTGAATATTGAATAGAAATCGTAAAAACGTGTGGTGATCAGTAGTAAACTGTGGCACTAATACCGAATAGTAAATAATAAATACAAAATGTATGATCCAATTGTTTTATAATATATCATTTCCTAGGGTGTTAATTCGTTCAAAAACCATGATAATTATTAACATAGAAAAATGAAAAGTTTGACAAAATGCTTAACATCGTTTTGACTTATGGTACGGTACCGGTACTCATACTGTACATAGTGAAAGACACCACAATACTCGAACTTCACAGATAGCTCCAACCAAGTGTACCAATTACGGAACACAGAAATTATATTTCAACCAGGATAAATAAATCTTTGCTCTAAAAAACAATAGAAAATTTAAATTATGATCCGGTGTACCGGCGTCAAAATAATGCAACCTATTCTATCATGTAATCTCTGCAATAAAAGCACTTTCGTCCAAATCATATTCCTCGTTCTCATCAAGTACCACACTTGTTGGTCTGTTGTATAGTTTTAAGACTTCCTGAAATACAAAACAGTCCTGGTTCAAACAAATTCTACATCCATTGTGTGAGTATGAAAATGATTAAATATGCACTTACTAGGTTTGTATCTTGGTTATCAGCTAAAGCTTGTTTCGCCAGATAATGCTCTCTTTTTATTTTCAATTCAAGACTTTGTGGAACATCTGGTACAATCCAGTCAATCATTCTCCCGACAAAAAATACAACATGCTGCAAATTTATTTTAAATATAGGTTATGCAAGGATTTATTAAGTCGGGCACCATGATAATTCAATAGCAGGTTTGGGGAAAATAATAATATAAGAGTGGTTCAGTATTACATGACCCTATTTTAGATTTGGGTGTATTCAATATGTGATCCAAAAAGCTCGAATAAATTGTGCGCAAAGTTCTAATATTTGATAAAAAACGGGTTCATCAATTTTGTAAACTTCTTCCTTCAAATATGGAGCCATATAATTTTGAGAAATTTATCCTTTACAATTTACCTCGAAGCATATGACAAATGCAAGTTTAATTGCCAGTATCATCCAGAAATGCATTGTATAATTTCCATATCTATCACGAAACCCTTTATATCTGCAATCTCCTAAACCTGGACGTGATTAGATACAAAAAATCAGTGTTATTGTTTTAGAATTACTGAGTAAAACAGTATATTAATCGGCGCTTCAGAAGTATGTGTACCAATATGGAGGTAACTCATCTTGTTGACTACTTCACATCAAGTTGTGTAAGTGACTGAAACCTATACCTACGGGCATATTCACTAACACAGACAGTCCTCCAAACTCATAATAAAACTAAAATAAAGAAAATCGGGATATTATGCCCTAACCCTAACCTGGTACACACAAAACGGGAGTACCTATAAATCAGCATAGCATTGAAACTCCTTCCATTTATTTCTCAAAAAAACGCACGCAAATTTGCATGACATATTCATATCGAAAGAAAAAAATGGACTATTTGACCGAATGTCGTTCCATAGTGAAACGACTTCACATACGACCCCTGATCTATATCCGAACAATACTGGTTAATATACAAGAAGCCATGTTTCACCATATGATTGTACCATCTTTTTACGTTTAAACAGGAGAAATATTGGAAATTTATATTCTAAAGTCCTTACCAGCATCATAAGGGGCATAAGCCAGTGTGAAATTAACATATCCTTTCAGTTCTCCATGGCCAATCCAATACATATAAAATACTTTTGGAATGAAATCTGATGTAAATGCAATCAAAAATGCCTGTAATAAGATAAAAAAAAATATAATAAATTTAAAATTCAACCACAATTTGTGGTTTTTAATTGTTTAGTACATTTAATTTAGCTTGTTTTGAAATACTACTTCTGTAAAGAGCACCACTCACGTTTGTAATAACAGCAATTTGTACTATTCCATCAAGAATGGAAAACCATACTCCAATGTTTTGTGCACGATCAGCAACTGGACGTCTTGTTTCACATACCAACTTGCTTGCATCAAGTCGAATTTCTAACCAGTTATTTAGGAGTGCAAATACTGGTGCAATTGGGAAAGCGGCCACAAATATTGTAATGAAACCGAACTGAAGAACTGCGAATATACATTTTTTCAGTCAAAGTATATGTTTATAATAAAGCCCAAAATCTTATACAGAATAAAAAGACCAATAATATTTAAGTAAAGCACTGTATTTACAATAATTGAAGGAAAACCTTTTCTTACTTTTCTCCTGATATAACATTTGCTCATGAAAACTTACTTTCCCATATTTTGTTTTACATTGGGGACATTCTGTTTTTTCAATGTTTTTCCAAGCGACACTTAGTTCAGTGTTTTTTCTGGCAGTATAGACAGTGCTCTGAGATGTCGGCCAATATCAAAATTACAGCAATGGATTTATGTATAGCTCTTAGTGTGACAGTGGGTTCTTGAAGTTTCTCCTCAAAAAGTCTACCCCTTCAACGAGACGACACTAACATTATGTAAGGTATGGTGAGGTTTGGTGACAGTTTTGTAACAAACTTGAGACTAATGACTGACAGTCGAGCATTTTAGTCAAAATAGGTCTATATGAACGAAGAGAGTGAATTGAATAAAAAAAAACATCAATAATTAAAAGGTTCATTGCAGAGTAAATTAAAAAATATACCCATTTCTAAATATTCTTCAAATAATCCTTCATAGTTCACAAGATGTCCATATTCATGATCCCAAGGTTTTCTTAGAGATTTTTCTTTCTCTTTACCAAATGCCTGTTTCATTCTTCTTGTGTTCCACCATTGTTTTATTTTTCTACAAATACATTTATGGAAGTAAGATTTTCATTACATTTAGCAGAAATTTTTGTTGACAAAAACTATAAAATTTTTCTAAAATGTGAGAACGGAAAATACTGAATGATATCATTATGCTTATTAAAAAGAAAGAATTCTGGCATTCCTAAATAAATTTTTTTCAATTTTTGCAAAAAATGTTCATTTAGCTTACAAACATGCAGTGTAATGGCAAATGTGTTTCAGCATTAGGTGAAATTCATCATGCGCTGATCTCATCTCATAAGAAGGTGTTTGGGAAGATTTTCAAAAAAAATTTTGAATATTTTCCTCTGCACTTACGGGAACGCTATTTCTTGTATATTATTGATGGCTTGTTTACCAATCATAATAACAAATAACTGTTCAGCAAGTTCGATTAAGCATCCTCCGCTTCCACAAGATTCATTTCGAACACCTAGTGTTTTGCTGTAATGTCCCGGAATTCCTACAAGACTGAAATAATATTATAAATCAAATTGTAAGTGAAATGAAGTCAAATGTACGAAGTGCAATGTAAAGTGCATAGAATTTTTCGGTGATTTTTTAGTGTTACTCTGAAAGTTATTGATTATGACACTGTATAACATACCATGAACATTTTACAATATCAAATAAATATTTTCAAATTTATGGCTGACATCGACAAGACAAACCAGGCATATTTGGCATATTCGATTACTTTAAAGACAAATATTAATTCTCTGAATAATAGAAACAGACAAGACTTACTTCCCCTTGAAGAATGCAATATAGAAGATCGATGAATAATAATTGACAAATTGAAATATAAACACTTTGAAAGTGAAAGCATTCTCGTATTCTGTTTGTGTTCGATGCATTTCTATAACAAAACATATTAAATATGAGCAAGCAAGAGGAAACAGAAGTATTAACGGGTATGAGCATATAGAATCAAAACATTAATGTAATTTAGGGTGTAGTCTTGAAGTAGGATAGAATTTCATAATCTTCAGGGAACAGCAAAACCAATGACATGGCCTCACTCATGTTATGATGAACCATGAATTAGTTTGGGTATCTGTGTTCTTAACAAGTTCAATGTTTCAGATAATCATACATGAATCTTGAACCAAAGGAAAAAAGGATAAATAAATGAAAATCCGGCAGCCATATATCACAGGATCATAACCATTATAATTTGAACTGCATCACACATACAGAGTGATCAGTGGCATAGTGCCTAACTTTTCGTGGGGGTCACTTCCAAATTCCTCAGCTGAACTTGAATAAAAAAGGGACCTCCTGAAGTATGCGCACCAAGATGGCGCACAACCTGAACTCAGGTCGTGTACCAAGTTAGGGTTCAGGTTGTGCGACATCTTGGTGTGCATACTTCAGGAGTACCTAAAAAAGTACCAACAATTACCCCATCTTGTAAGATATCTTGCAACTTCTGTGTAGACTTGAGCCATCAACATAATTAGTATGAGATTCAATACTGCACCAGATAAAGACTTTACAGAACCAGCCTGAAAAATAAAATATCACAAACAATTTCATTAGAACTGAATGTCATTTTATGATAAAAAAATAATGCGAATGGCGTCAACAAGGCAAAACTATTCATCTAGTTATGATTCAATAGTGAAAGGCTTCCAGCGAACACTTTGTTCCAAGGGGTTCCCTAGTCTTGGGTTACCAGATATTGGAATGATTATCATTATTTCAATTGTAGTGAGATGCTTGTAAAATTGGATGAATAATAATTAAGGGGTTTCAATGTTGCCATCTGTAGCATGTATTAAATACTACCGCACAAGATTTTTTCAATCTTGAACAGATATCAAACTGCATATAATATGCTCAGGAAACAGAGTAAATGAAAATAGAACTCACTCCAACATGTACGTAGTAGTTACTGCTATGCATCAAGATGATTCCAATTAAACATTTGTATAAAATCACTGATATCACAAAGATGATCACAACGCTCAGCTGAAAGATAAATAAACAAAGAACAACAAATTGAAAATTTTGAATCAAAGTGTTATATAATATTATTATTCCATTCATTAAAAAAGCTTTCTACAATATCTAACTACAATATTTTTCATCAAGTACAGAATAAGTCAAATTCTATCAATTATGTTTTTCCATTATTCTGGTACATACAGGCCTACTCAAAACCAATATGGTGGTTTTGATATTTATACAATCTCTACGACCTTCTATTAAGATTCCGAAACTAACCATTATAATCAGGATTGTGAAACCAGTTAATGTTCTTCTGAGTCTTGAAGATGGAGGAAAATGTGGTTCGAGTACTCCAGTCACAGGATTCTTCTCAAGATGAGGAGCAAGAGCAGCATACTCTGGTCGAGGTCTCTCATCCTCATGATAATCCATAACTTCCCAATGATGAGCAAGACTTGCATTTTTTCGCTTCCAGTATTCAAGAAACAAGACAGCTGAAAAGCGAAATACTTGATCATGAAAAACGTACTTGATCATGAAATTGTAGTTAGCCATTATAGGAGGTCGGAGGAAATCACATAATTAGGAGGAAATCACTTAAGAAAAAACCTGACTACCATTTTAACTTTGACCTCATCCTGAACGCTGTTGTCAGAGTTCTGGGTGAATATGGTGTGAAATTGTTTCATTTACTTTTGATGAATATTCACTGAATTGCAGGATATTCATTGATTAACATTTTAACTTGACTTCCCAATTGTTTTAACAATTGATAACCATTATTTATGTGCATGCCATCGCTTTTGTTGTCCCAGTTGAAGTCTGCTTTTGCTAACGTTACCAAAATTTTATAGATTACTTACCCCAAAAGGACATAACAATTGCAAATGCAACAGTTCCAGGATGATCGAATAAATAAGATAATTTAGTTTGTCCACAGGTTGAACTTAACTCCCAATTTTTACATGTATCACATGAAGGGCACATATTAAAGTTGTTTGTGGTATTGCAGATTTCTACCCTGAAAAGTTTTTAAAAAAAAAGAAAAACCAATATGTCTTCAAAATAATTAAAGTATATTACATGTACAAGGCTGTTGTCACAATTCAATTTGGGTGCAAGAATTTAGTTGCAAAACAAAAAATGGCGATGTCTCAGGTTTATTTTTTAATTGAAAAAAAAACTGTAAATTAGTAAGAATGAAGGAAATTATCAATGTCAACTATAAAAAAGACTAATAATTCAATACCATCCGTATGTTGAAATGAAACCTTGAAAATAAAAGAGCTAAGATATCTTACTCACACCATAATGTTAGTACTCATATTGCACATTCCTCCAATGAATACCAGCAATCCTAAAATTGCAACTGGAAGAAGCCATGATGTGTAGAAACCTTAAAGCAATCAAATAAATTGAGTGCGATTCATGCAAAGTAATCAAAAAGTAAAATTTTGTTATGATGTAACGATAACATTTAAGCATTATAAATACTTTTTAATTTCAAGAATATTTCCTCAACACCACTCAGAAGAGTAGCAACCTCACTTTCATTTTAAAATTACCAATTGGCACTCTACCAATTTAAAAAAATATTTGGTGCATCGTGCTAAGCATTAGGAATACGCTCATCACCACACCTCTGATTAATCTGTGTGGTTTTCTCATGTTCGAATCCCGAAAGGATAATCATGTGCGAGAGAATTGTTGGACTCCTGGTCGTCTCAGAGTGGTTCGCGTAACGAATGGTCAGTTCAGCTCTTTTCACCATCAAGTTCATGCATCTGAAACAACTAACTGGCTAACTAATACTATACCCGACATATACTGGTAACCGCACGAGGACCGGTGGTTCGCTATATTATTAAGCCATTTTATCAGCTTTTCTTTTCCCCCAGGAATAAATATGTAAATCCCATCTTAAGGCAAAATTGCAAGACGTTTAATGATTCTCCTTGGTTCAGATTGACAGTCTCCACTTTTAATCTTGGATGATTATAAAAAATTAAATTAATTTATGTTTTTGAAACTACAAATATTATTTTACATTGTTTCATAAAACCGAAAAAGTTGATTCATTATAAATCCACCATTTGATGAAGGAATTATGGCCCAATTAAATCCAACATTTACATATTTACATATTTTATCCCGGGGGAGAGAAAAACCGTTAAAGATGGCTTATTCATATGGTGTACCACAGCTTCTTGTCTGGTTACCAGTCCATGTTTGGTATAAGATTAGTTGCAGTTATTTGTTTTCCAATGTACGGACTTGAATGAATTCTGTTCATGAGTAATACTGCGGCACTTTAATCTTGTCATATACATACCTAGCCATGCAAAGTAAATTCCAATTTTTTCACCAAAATAATCTCTGATATGATCCATAGGTTGATATTTATACCATCTACTCCATTTTGCCCAATATTCAAAGAGAACTTGCCGCTTACACATTTGAGATGGGTCCTTAAAATAATTAACTAATAATTAATTAACATAATTAATTAATAAAATAATTAACAATAATAATAGTCACACTTCTTTTGCATATGATAAGCATGTTCTAAAATATGGAGATTTGGCTATTAATGATCATAGGAATTGTATTGGTAAAGTTAGCAACTAGTTTCAGCGAGAATACATCATCAGAAAAAAACGAGGAATATTATTTTGTAAATCCGACAAGCTCATCAATATATGAATTCTTTATTTTGCTATGTGTACCGTAATTATAATATGAATACTTTATGACTACTCAACCATAGCATTGATATTATATAGGCCTGTAGAAAATATAGCACAATGCGTCATTAATTGAATTCCTCTATTGAATGAATATGATGGTGGCAAAGAATAGAATGAACAGACTTATTTTAGTGTGCACGAATCCTGTCACAGTTTATACCATATGGTATCATTGCTTAAAATAATTTGCATAGTCTGTCGGCACAAGCTCAGCTCATCAATAATGCAAACTCAGGAAATTGGGGTTGACGCATGTTGTTGCGTATCATACTTATAGACTTCATGTTCATTAGTTCATGGATGGACCATATATGAGAAGAATAGAAATGATTCAATTATTAGATAGCCCATATATGTGCTTTGTAAAAATGGTATAAATGTATGAAGTTGAACATTTAAAGAAGATTAAAGGAATCTCAAATAGCAGAGTTTTTAAAATTCATTAGCTTATATATATATATATTATAATTCATTCAATTAGGAGTCTGAAATGTACATGTGATGAAAATATGCTTATGTGAAACATGTCAGTAATATATTCAATCTATCAAACCGAAACATAGGTCAAGATATATGAACCAGTCAATAGCACATTGATTAAATGTAATTATGTTTTTTCGTCTTCTGATACTTGCCCATAGTGTCATAGGGGTTGATGTGTTAGTTTTTCTAAGTTGACATTGTCAGTTAAATATTTAGAGCCTCAGTCACCCATCCCCCTAACCCCAAAGGAGTATATAATTGGGTATTTTGAGTCAATATGAGTAGATTCTGGTTTTCCAGAACCTAGCAGCTGCTCAAATATAAGTGACTGCGTTGCTAAGCGCAAATATGTAAGACAACTCATTAAAAATTCAAACCTTTTCTTGGTTACGAGGGAGACGAAATGGTCCATCATGTAAAGGAAATGCAGCATCAAATACTTCTTCTGCCAACAATCTTTCAATTCCTTTTAAGCCACAAAAAATTAATCTTTAAATTTTAGTTATCAATTACTTGTTTACATGATAGTGGCGCAGTCTATATTTCGTAAAGTCAAATTCCTAAAATGCTAACTATATTGGCAAGAATTGTGGTTTACCATTTTTCTTTCTAGTTTAAGTGCACTCACAGTTAAAACCTGCACATGAATGATTCATTACTTGCCCCTATGTAAGTGAATTCAATATGTGATTGCTTACCAACTTCAGCTTTCTTTTTCTTTCCATAAGCAGTTACTTCGAGGATTTCCCAAGCTATGCGTTGTCTATCTGTTTCTTTGAAATAATTTTTAGGGTCATCACTTCCAAGAAAACTGTAAACAAATAATAAAAATTCATGGACAATTGAGTCTTTATTAACAGAATGGTATTTTTCGGCCTTTTTAGCTCATTTGACTTGTTTACTTACTGGTATGTTGTTTTGCTAGAGTTAAAGTTTATACATTACTATTTATGTTTAATTAAATGTTATATTCCCCTTTCGAAATATCTATTGTAACCGAATTAGAAATTGCGGTAGTCATATGATTTATCTATCTTATCGGCTTTTCTTCCCCCAGAATAAAGAACAAAAAACCCAATGTCAAAACCGCTATCAACTCAAGAACTGAAATTTCAACATTTTTTCAGATACCCACTTGTGCAGTTTCGATTGTCGAAATGTGCAGGTGAAATACAATGCTGGGCGATTCGGGACATCAATTTCCATAATATTTCTTGCTTTGCAATGATTTAACAAGCTTGCAGACCACTGTTTACTTTTGTATTCACGAAGCTACAAAAATATTAGAGATAATGAAAATTGATAGATTATGCAATTCCCACTAAAATTGGCTGCTTGTCCAGTGCCAACTTCAATGAACATGTCCAATAAACATCATCCATATTACAAACATTCTGACATGTATTTCACCGTTAATAAAATTCCTATGAAATATTTTGGATTGTAAAATACTTTAAGGGGGTGCTCTACACTTTTGGACTATCACACAGAGTAATAATCTAGATACAAAAGGCAACTTCTCTTATATATCATTAGTTCTATAAAAAATACCTGTAGAGGAGCTCTCAGATTGAGATCTTCAGCGTAGTGTATCAGTAGTGCCCATGGAATATGTAGTAAATAGTATTGCACTGTTTTATCTACACTAACTTTTTCATCCTGTACAAAAATAGACATAGTACTTTTGAAATCTCTATTAAAAAGAGCTCTTTTGACAGAGTAATATTTAAATTGATTGAAAATTTGAATTTAGATAATATAGCTTTTTTACCACTTGTTCAACCAACTCAAAACTTGGAATCAAACACACAACTCATCTGACCTTTTTGATTTCAACTCCTTTTCTTTCAAGATTTTTCAAGAACTTCGATCTCCATCTTTTTTGTTTGTCTTTCAAATCACGCTTTCTGCGTTTTGCTTCTCTTTCTTCTTCGCTCATTTTTCGGAGCACTTTTGATGTTCTTTTGTGTTCATCTTCATGTACAAGTACAAAATCTATATAATACAACAGAGAAGAATAGTCGGTTATTCAGAATCAAATGCATATTCAAATTCATAGGAAAATGCCATTTTTTGCGGTAGTTATAGCTTTAAATTAATCCAAGTTACTATATAATTGGGGAAATGTAAAAATAATTTTGACATCAAAAACTTTGATATTCTAGAGCCTTTTTTAATTTTATGTTTAGAATGCTTAACCCAATGCATCTTTGCTTTCAGTAGAACATTTTGACGTTGATTACCAGCATTGAGGTTCTCAATTTCTGACTCCAGCTCAAGTGAATTTGAAAATATAACTTTGACTCTTGCTCTGACTCCAATACCAATGAAAACATGCTAAACTCGACCTCTAAAGTCCTTCTTCAAGAGTAAATTGATTTTGAAGTTAAAGTTGCAACGTAACAACTGTATTTGGGTGCAGAAATATTCAATCGATCACTGTATAACAAATACAAACCAATGCATTTCTCTTCTCCATCGTCATCGACAAACTTTCTAGAAATTGACGGTGAGTTCAAACGATCACTGCCAGCATCACTTTCCAAATCACCCTGTTAGAGTTTTGAATATTATTGTGGTAAAATAATAATTCAGTGCCCTGGAACTGTGGAAGGATTAGTTGTCTTTCCCACTGTCCTTATATTGATTACTTGCAGAAGTTAGATTGCTTTTTGTTTGAGATAATGATATACAAGAAGATTACAGATTAAGATTTTTTCACCAACCTCATTCTAGTTTATGTATTTCAATTGGTCTCTTGAATGAGCTAACTAATTTTGAGCCAAACTGATTTGGTCATGAAAACAATCATAACAGAGTAACAATCATAACTTCTCAACACTGGACATAATGTCTTATAACCTATATAAGAGCTCGTTAGTTGTACATATTATTCCAATCTAACAGAGTAGCTGTCTATGACTAGTGGCAACTTTACAGAGCCTTGTTTCGAGAGAAAAAGAAAATATACCACAATGAGTATTTAGCGTTCTATTTCATACTTATACTAATGGAACAAAAGCACATGATACTTGTTTGTATATTAATGTTAGATATTTGTGAACTATAATTACCAACTTATGTCCATCTAATCAAGTTATAATAAGAAACTCCAAAATTAGGTCATCAACTTAATTCAAGGATAAATAATGTTGTATCAGAGATGCGAGCTCACTTTTCAAGACTGTATCCCAATAAAATTCTAAAATATTTTAATTGAAGTTACGGAGCAGGCGGAATTTCCGTTAATACAATTTAAATATAAAGTTCATCACATTTCACAATGTGTTTCATACGTTTTACAAAAATGATGACTTGAACCCATATCACGGGAGCCTAACATATGGGAATTGTATTTAGCCAGATCATACAAACCTCTGGTACTTTGTCTTTGACCTTCAGTAATGCTTCCGTGTCCCACATGCTTCCATATTCGTCGGATTCGGTCATGATTACCTTGCAATATAGACAAGAACTACAGAAAATTACTCTCATTCACATTCAATTCCTTGAAGTAACTCATCCCGAAGCAGATGAGAGCACCGACTGAACGTAAATTGACTAATTTTGCAACGCGTGTGCTAGTTAAAAACTAAAAAAAATTATTGGGCTTTAGCTGTAAAGTAATCCAAGAAAACATGCAAAAAATTTATGATATTATTATTATTATTTTCAATACTTCTAAATTTTACACTATGCACAAAGAACCATTAACGCGCAATCAATATGTAATCTATACGTTAGGTACTTGAGCTACCATAGAATTACAGTTGAAATTATTATTTTTTTCATTAGCGTATTATACGTTCGCTTGTGGCGGATGCAGTCGCTTTCGTGTCGGTATAATTACTATTACTCTCTGACACAGGAAGCAAACAAGCTGTTCGCTTCCTCTCCATCGCCCACCTTGGTTCATCTGTGCATTATTAATTTTTGTTCAAATCAATTTGATTCCTAAAATGAAATTAGGTTGCATATTGGTCAAAATACTGCCAGTCGTAGACTGCATCAAATTCATTGTAGTACGTCGTATTACTTGAGTCTCAAGTAGCGATTACAAATTCCATATAGAAGTCAGGTCAGCCTTAGGCCCCTGCGACCTATGCAGTCGCAATGGGGTCCCCACTTCCATAGGCCCCGCGCTGATTCTAGGTGTAAATTATTTAATTAAACCGTTATGACTTATGATCATTTATAAGTAAGTGCGTTTGTGATGGATTTGCAAGGCTGGAAAGTAAAGATTGTCTAAGCATGATTTTGTGGAAGATGAAATTGTTTCTCGAAGGCTGTTTGGTCCTTATCAAATTACCGTTTTGTTAAAGTTTATTGTTGGCACTCATTGCAGTTGGGCAGTTGTAGTCGTTGTTGGGCTCTCATAATCCGAGATGCCGATGCCCAAATCGTCGGCCCTCTTTTAACTCCCAGACGCATTGCAACACCGGTATATTCCTACTTCTAGTTCTATTCACGTGTGTGGAACCTTGCTCGTAACGAGAAAAACTTGATGCCTGAGAGATTTACAGTCCATGCTTTCACAACGAACAGCTTTAATGCTTTCCACTATCTTCTGTACAATATTTCAAATCAGAAAACGTTTCACGATTTAATCCATTCACCACTACGAAACAAAAACCGTATACCATTCACGTGTGCCGATTTTAAAAACAGATCAATATACGACATCATTTTTTTAAACCAAACCAATACATATATCATCAGAGCTAATTTGTTCTGGATTCTTACATTTCTTGATAAATATCGCAGGCAATTCGAATACGGGATCATGAACGTTTCAATTTCAATACGACAAAACAGAAAACAACCGTAATTCCAAGAATAGGCACGTTTCACTGCCTACAGTATAAAACTGTACATAGCGAATAATTTGCAGCTGTTTGATTGCTGAACATTTCCGCCAGGAATAAGTTGGCGTACTTTGGACCACTATAATGTATCCTTAATTTGGTGGAAATATAAATACGTCCTTAACTAGCACATGCGTTGCAAAATTCGTCAATTTACGTTCAGTCGGCGCTCTCATCTGCTTCGGGATGAGTTACCTCAAGGCATTGACTGCCTATTGAATGTGAATGAGAGCAATTTTCTGTAGTTCTTGTCTATATTGCAAGGTAATTATGACCGAATCCGACGAATATGGAAGCATGTGGGACCAGTGGTGCAACCAGGCCGTTTTCAACGGGGGGGGGGGGGGGGAGGGGGTCCGACCGGAATTTACACATTGCAACCATGACGTATGTCGCAACGCCACTAGGTGTCGCCCCGCTGAAACACGATAAATTGCTCGTGGTTAAAAGGGAAACGCCATCGATTAAACCCCAGCCTTTCGCTTACCTTGCCCTCGTTCATTAACGGCGCTTCGCTATGTCTTGCACCTCGTGGGTAGCAAAACACCTTTCATTACATTCCAGCGAATTGCTAACGAAAAGCTGTTAATTATTTTCAACGTTTCCCTCGCTTTGCGCCTCGTGGATAGTGAAACACGGCTTGAATAAATTCCAGTGTTTCCCTCGTGCCGCGCCTTGCTCGTTGGGTGAATTCTTCAAGACTAAAAACAAAATGCACTTCTTGCGAATGGACCTTTTCCCGACCCTAACCCCAGAAAAATTCTAAACTAAACTGAAGCTCACCGGAAGACATAATGACAATTAAAATAATTGGTTTACAACTAATTTTCGGAAACACAACTAAAAACTGAATAATTTAATGCAGGGCTGTCCAAATCGAATTTAAATTCAATTATCGCAAACTTCAAATACTGTTTTTTCGTGTTTATAATAATCCCGAATATGGCGCACATATCCTAGCGTCGTCATCCATGTGTGGTTCGGCATTATATTACAGCTGACATGAAAGTATTTCGATAAACGCCGACTTGAAGAACTTATAAGACTTCGAGGACGTTTTTGATTGAAAATATTTTCTTATCGTGTATTTTAACTTAGTCGAGATGGTTTAGACGTCCTCGGCAAATTGTGTCTTAATTAGTTGTTTTCATCCTCAGTTTTGATAGTGACCGAACATAGCAGGAAATTTTTTCATTTCTTGTAATTTAGCGCGTATAAAATAGCTCTTAAATAGTATTTAATATCTATCGCGGATTTCGTCGGCATCCGGCGTTGATGACAACATCGTTCAGTTTAAGTTAGCGGTATTCATTTACAAACAAAAATACATAACAGCCGACATGAAATATTCAAATCAGCGCAGAGTTCAAAAATAATCGGCAGAGTTCATCGTCATCATAATCAAATTAGTTAAACCCGATTCCCAAATTTCCGTCCGCCAATAATGGAGAACAAAGATGGAAAAACGTGTTTTACTTTTGAGTCGGCGTTGATTCAAATTTTTCATGTTATGTGTTATAATTTTTTGATTATAAACCAATACCTCCAACTTAAAATGAACGATATTGTTATCAACGACGTCGGGATAACGATAAAATCTCTGATAGAAACCGAATAATATTTGGAAGCTATTTTATAGATTGCGAGAAATTAAAAATTTTCCCGTTAAGTTCGATAACTATCGAAACTGAGGATGGAAACAATTAATTAGGGCATGATTTGCTTTTAAGTTTATTGCCGAGGTGCACAACATATCTTGACTAAATTGAAATATACGATAACAAATGTAAAAAATTTTCAACCAAAAACGTCCTCGACGTCTTATAAGCACTTCAAGTCGGAGTTTATTGAAAACCTTCACGACGACTGTTAGTTATTGCCGTGCCACACATGGCTGCTTTCGATTGCGATAGAAAATGAAATAATTGTGAAATGTTTTTAAACCAGAACGTGGACGGGGGCGGTAGGATGTGTACGGCGTTTTCGGTTTTCGGCCTTTCATATGTAGAAAATCTTAGGGTAATCGAAGCAATATTTTTCCGAAAATAATTTTCGTATCCAGATTTTCAAAGTTTCTACTGCATTATTATAACATGAAGACGGGCGACGTTACATTGCGTCAAGATGATGAAGCACGAGGGTATTCGTCACAAGAGAGAGAGAGATAGCATTATGCTATTGTCGCTTTCAATTCGCATCGACAGCGCGCGATTTCTCCTTTTTGAGGTAACATATCTCATTTTCGAATACAAACATTCACGCGGGGATAGCGATTATTACGTAACTAACAGCAAAAAGGTATGATTGAAGTCGGGCGGTGTTAAATTACGTCGAGGTGATAAAGCACTGGAAAAAAGTAGTTTTCACCCGATTGTTATGACCGTAGAACGACCTTGTTTGAACGTAAAACAATAATAAAAAAAAACGAATTTCAAACAGGGGGACACGACCCCCGTAACCCTCCCGCTGGTTGCGCCACTGTGTGGGACACGGAAGCATTACTGAAAGTCCCAGAGGTTTGTATGATCTGGCTAAATACAATTCCCATATGTTAGACGTCGGTGATATGGGTTCATCATTTTTGTAAAACGTATGAAACACATTGTGAAATGTGATGAACTTTATATTTAAATTGTATTAACGGAAATTCCGCCTGCTCCGTAAATTCAATTGAAAAATTTTAGAATTTTATTGGGATACAGTCTTGAAAAGTGAGCTTGTTTGCATCTCTGATACAACATTATTTATCCTTGAATTAAGTTGATGACCTAATTTTGGAGCTTCTTATTATAACTTGATTAGACGGACATAAGTTGGTAATTATAGTTCACAAATACCTAACATCTATATACAAACAAGTATCATGTGCTTTTGTTCCATTAGTATAAGTATGAAATAGAACGCTAAATGCTCATTGTGGCATATTCTCTTTTTCTCTCAAAACAAGGCTCTGTAAAGTTGCCACTAGCCATAGACAGCTACTCTGTTAGATTGGAATAATATGTACAACTAATGAGCTCCGATAGAGGTTATAAGATGTTATGTACTTTATTGAGAAATTATGATTGTTGATCTGTTATTTATGATTGTTTCCATGATCAAATCATTTTGGCTCAAAATTAGTTAGCTCATTCAAGAGACCAAATGAAATACATGAACTAGAATAAGTTGGTGAAAAAGTCTTAATCTGTAATCTTCTTGTATATCATTATCTCAAATCTAACTTCTGCAAGTAATCAATACAAGGACAGCGGAAAAGACAACAAATCCTTCCACAGTTCCAGGGCACTGAATTATTAATTTAACACAATAATATTCAAAACTCTAACAGGGTGATTTGGAAAGTGATGCTGGCAGTGATCGTTTGAACTCACCGTCAATTTCTAGAAAGACGTTGACGACAATGGAGAAAAGAAATGCATTGGTTTGTATTTGTTATGCAGCGATTGATTGAATATTTCTGCACCCATATACAGTTGTTACATTGCAATTTGCAACCCATCAATTTACCCTTGACGCGAGGTTGTGGAGCTTGAGGCTGAAATGGCGTAGAGTTCCAAGTCGGTAAATATGATTCTGCTCATGTTTGTGTCACAAGGGAGGAAAGGAAATGTATGAGGATTTTTCAAAAACACACAAAACAATTTCTGGAGCTATAAAATATCTAAATAACAGTATTCTGATCAGTTTCATATTTTTACATTTCACCAATTATGTAGTAACTTGG